AACACTCTTGTAGGACACTCTTGTGGGACATGCGGGACGCTCTTGTGGGACACTCTTGTGGGACACTCATACGGGACACTCTTGTGGGACACTTTTGTGGGACACTCTTGTAGGAGACTCTTGTGGGACACTCTTGTGGGACACTCTTGTGGGACACTCTTGTAGGAAACTCTTGTGGGATACTCTTGTAGGACACTCTTGTGGGACACTCTTGTAGGACACTCTTGTGGGACACTCCTGTAGGGCACACTCTTCGTACGAGACTTCCTCCAAAAGTCACGCTGGGAGACTGCAAGACGAGCGTTTCGTACGAGACTTCCTCCAAAAGTCACGCGTCAAGTCTCAAAAACGAGCGTTTCGTACGAGACTTCCTCCAAAAGTCACACGTCAAGTCTCCAAAACGAGCGTTTCGTACGAGACTTCCTCCAAAAGTCACATGTCAAGTCCCCAAAACGAGCGTTTCGTACGAGACTTCCTCAAAAACTCACATGTCAAAGTCTGCAAAACGAACGTTTCGCACGAGACTTCCTCCAAAAGTCCAGCGGAAACACCCATCGGAGCACACACATCACGCAGCCCTGCCAAGCAGTTTCGCGATTCCAGCCCCTCCAAACGACACCCGCTCACACGCCAATCCCAATGTGACAGCAACATTCACCTCTACCACAACTCACAACCTCCCGATTCCCTGCGCCTGCCACGAATCTTTCCGCGTCCACACGTCTAACGCGCACAAAGTACTGCGCCTGCCACGAAATGTCACCTCCGTCACACATCGCAACCTCACGATTCCCTGGGCCTGCCACGAAAATCATACTTCCACACCTCAAAACCCGCACAAAGTCCTGCGCCTGCCACGAAAAGTAACAATGTCATCTCATGTGAGCTTCAACAAAATTTGCACCACACCACACGTTTGGAATGATTTCGACCCGTTCTGAGCACACTCCCATCCACCAAAATCGGCATTTCAGCTGAGACTTGTCACGAAAACAGAGCCTCGACGCCACATCCTGAAACGCAAGTCCCAATGGCACGGCCACATCCAACACCCCAAAAACTCGACTCTCCACACGCTAATCCCAATGGAACTGCGTAGCAAACTGTGGATCTCACAAAACGCTGCCCCTGTGCAGCGAAATGCATCACGCTTCTTGCGCGACATGTCCTTTTCACGCAAATCACAATGGAATAGCGGCGCAAACTGACACGTGACACATCCATGCCTGGTCACCTGCAAAAGCTTCCCCCAATGGCAGCGCCTTAGCGCTCTACTGCGAACGGTTGCGGACGGTTGCGAACGGTTGCGAACGGTTGCGGACGGTTGCGGACGGTTGCGGACGGTTGCGGACGGTTGCGAACATAGAAGCAACGGGTCGCGAACAAAGCTCTACCCCCAGACCCCCAAGAGTTAAACGAGAACCCTTCGCTACGCATTCGGGAAAAAGGCAAAGAATTTGATGATCACCACATACACTATATGTATGCTGATAAAACCTGAAGAACTAAAATGCATAAATGTGGGAGGGTCATGATTTTAACATGATCTTTTCTGGCATTTGTCTGTTTGCTATTTATTTGCATGTTAAAATCCCATAAGCTATATGAAAAATAGAAAGAAATGCCAACAATCTGTTCATTAGATCTGGCATGCGACTCCAAAGGGTGTATCAGCATGCCAAATCATTGATGGTATTTCTATTCCTGCAGGAATAAACTTGATATATTATATTGCGTTTATCGGTTATTTTAGTCTAGTCCATGAAAATATTGATTGACCGAGAATGGTGTCATCATTCATGGAAAGGTGCATATTGTGATGTTTCTTTTATAGTAAACATATTAATAATAGTCTCTATTAGTGATATATATATATATATAATCGCTATTTCCTTTATCACAAGCCAAACAATATGCCACTGTCACTAGATAGCTCCCTTCACGATTACGTCAATATTTTACAACTGTTTGATGTCTACAGAGCATTTGGAAATGAGGACTGACATGTAAAGTAAACTTTGAAATGTCTGGCTGCGTCTTAGAATATAACACCATAAAAATCAACTAAGGAACTAACCCAGTGGTTGGGGGCAAACCTCGATTTCAATACACTCTTCTTGGCCCATGTCATGTTTCAACATCTCCGCCAGAGTACTCCCGACGGTCCGAGTCACCTTCTTTGGAGTCACTCCTCTGCTTTGGCGTGATGCCGTCGTCCGTCTGATGCAACCAGCCATGGACCTCGTGTGTGTTCGTCAATTCCTTGACCATGCTCTGTCAAGTGTTAAATGGAAAAAGCTCCTAGTAGCTTCTTGTTCCTAGTAGTATGGCCAGGAGCCCCTAGTAGCGTCCTTGTTCCTAGTAGCGATGCCAGGAGCCCTAGTAGCTTCTTGTTACTACTAGTAAGGCACTTGTTACTAGAGATGCCCTTTGTTACTAGTAGCTTCTTGTTACTACTAGCGTCCTTGTTACTAGGTTCATTGTTGTGCCGAGATTTGCACGGCCATCTTTCGAGCCGGAAGCTGTGATGTTCGGCGGCTTGGGCTCCAAACGATGACGTCATCTGCAGAGGCACGTTGCTTCTCATCTTTGTGCAACATGCTGCTGATGAAATCTTGGCAAAGAGGCTCCAACCTACAACAGGTTCAAAAAGCAGGAAATCTGAATTGGGGCTTCGAGGAGAACTGACAAAAGCCAACCAAACATGTGAGTCTTGGTTTTGTCTTGGAATATATAATAGAAGCCTGTCAAAATAGCACCACCACCTCTCAAACAGTGTCGCATGTCCGCAGCGGCCCTGCCAGCCCTGCGGACCATGCCTCCTTGGAAACTTGGGCTCCTTGATCTTTATTTCAGTTTCATCCTGCATGGCTCAAGCAAATGAAGGCAGCAAAGAAGTGAAAGAAGTTGCTGATTCGTTTGGGTCAACAACAACAACCACAACCACGACCTCGACCTCCGACCTGTCTTTGGTAGGCTATTCTAAGGTTTTGCCCCTTGGAGCCACACGAAGCTTCCACCGGGCAAAGTCAGAATCAAAAGTGCAAATAGACTTTCATGAGCAACATGTCTTGCACCTCTGTAACCATATTGTAGCAACTAGTCTCAAACAAATGAAATCTAGGAGTACAAATTGTGAGCTGTCTGAAGCTATATAGATATATGTATATGACTATATAAGGAGACAAGAGTCAGAGTGTTTCAAAACGTATGCAAGCATTACACGCAGCCTTTCCATTCAATCCTGTGGACGCTACTTGGCTCGCCTTAAACGGAAATCGGCCATCCAGGAGGCCATACATGATGATGCCAAGGGCCCAAATGTCCACCTTCAAAGCACGGGGCAAATCAAGGTGACAAAGGAAGACTGTCTTCGTGAAAATATGTCGCACCCATGTGGAAATCTAAACAATGCATGAAAGCTACTGAGTGTAGTGTTTGAAAACCTAAGCGCACAAAGCATGAAGGCAACCTACCAATAGTTTACAGTGTTCTTTCACATGAACTGATGTGAGGCTTGACCCTCTCCAAGTGACCGTCGATTGAAAAGCTAAATCTGGAAAGCTGGTGTCTTGTCTCTCTAGGTCCACTAAGCTATACGTTATCTGAGCCTTGAGGCCATAGTCCTTCGCGAAAATCTCGGGTGCCCAAAAAATCCTCACGCAGCTAAGCGAAGAAGAACGCAGGTCAGCTTTGCCAGCACAGTGGAAATCCTTTTGACTTGTCTTTAGTAGCCTTTTGGGACCTTGTTCTTGGGGGCAGGTAGGTAGCTAAGTGGTAGCTAGTGAGAAAAGCTTCTTAGTAGCTCGGAGTGGCAAGCACGCAAAGGAGCTCCGGTTCGACTTCGAGAGAAGTTTGCTTAGTCGCGGCAACGGACCAAGGTCAATCTACAGAAGCTGCTTCACTACACCTGCATGGAGCTCAAGTTAGAATTACGGCGCACAGAGTCTGTGGTCAGGTGCCCAAGTGTATCTCACGCACTCCAAGCACTTCTATGCTACCAATTCGCTTACGGTCAAGTGAATTCGCGTCCATGATGCTTCAGTTGCAGCATGGGTGAGGTGAGGCCAACAGGCCAACATGTTAGCGCGTAAAGTGGGAGATTGGGTGATTGTTGGTTCTCTCAACAGCGAAACGCAGAAAAATCACCGGTGCTTTGGAACTGGTCAGCTGGAAAGGTGCTGCAGGTCGCAAAACTCTCCTGATGTCGGACGGTGCTGTTGTGGCCATCTGGCTGAAAAGAACAATCTTCTTCACAGAGCTTGCAACCACAGCAAAGGTCTCTGGGGCAGCGCAGTATTGTGCGAATTCACACTGGAGGAATTGAATGGAATAAACAGGTTCTGGAGCCGGACGAAGATGCTATCCCTTCATCCTTTTCTTCACAGAAGAATGATAAGCCGAATCCAACAATTTTGAATTGTCAGAAGCATGCAGTGGAGGTGGGACCTGGGAGTACGTTGGAAAAGACCTACAGTATGTACTTTCACGGCAAAGAAGCTTGCTTCTCTAGACTCTAGACAGGTGCAAAAGCTCCCAAACTTGCATTCTAGACACATTGCCACATTGCAACATTGCCAAAATAGAAAGGTTTTCTGCTGAGGACAATTTTGCCGGCACGAAAAGAACAAGGTGTTCTTCGAAACTGCAAGACAGTTTCCAGGCCAGCTGGCTTTGTCCGACAAAATGAGCAAAAGACAACCAGATCGAAAATTGCGAAGACTTGGTCAAACATGGTCAAAATTGGAAAACGCACATGGACTGGAGTCACTTGCTTGAGCAGCCATCTCCTGGTGCCCACCTCAGAGCTCAATCGACGACCGTCACGCAGCGCCTCTGCTGTACCTGGTGACGAAAGAGAGAAATCGGCAGACACCCCTGACAAGAGAAAATCCTTTTAGTTTTGAGGTTCTGCATGTTGGAAACAAAGCCTTTCCCAGCGGCTTCAGACGCAAAGGATTGGACTTCACCGATGACCAGCAATGACAAACTTTTTCTTTCCAAGATCTGAGCCAATGAATACAGAGCAAGGAAAGATCTCCCGTGCCAAGTGCAGGGGCAAACATTAATGCATTGAGGCAAAAGGGCCAGATCCACACGTTCTGGCAGCGATGTATGTACACCGATTGCAAAAGCAAACACAATTAGAGTTGTTTGAAGACTGGGGCGGCCTGTGGCCTATTGCCACACAAATGAAATGCATGTGGCCAATCTGTGGAGCAATCTTTACAGGTCCAAAAAGCTCCTCGGAAGAGGCCACATTGGGTGAGAAAATGAGAAAATGCGAGTTGTCCGCTCAAGAGCTGCGGCCAAGCTCAACAGCCTCCTCATCCTCGAACAAATGAGTTGGGGAAGCTTATGCTCAGTGCTCAGTGCTGTCCGTTCCCTGAGACTAAAGCAGCTAAAGGCTAAAGTAGTAGCGTCCGAACGCTCCTAGTAAGGCCAGGAGCCCCTAGAGAGAAGAAAATGGCAGCTACAGAGTGGCAGCTAGTTCAGGCTTCGTACCTTCGTACATCACCAATTTGTACTGCAAACATTCTGCTTGGATTGTTGGTTTGGTGCCTGCAGTGCCTGCCGAGTTGGTGCCGGTGGCTCCATGAAGTGGCATTCTATGAGCCGCTGCTGCTCCACAAAGTTCTTGTGTGGTGCTGTCGCCTTGGCTGAACTGAAACAGGAATCATTGCATGAATGATGTTGAATGTCTTGAATGTCATTGTATATGTTTCTGAAGGCTCATCCAATTCATCCACGTCCTGAATCTTAAACCTGCAAAGGTCAAACGCACATCTCATGAAAGGTGCATCGCCCTCAATGAAGATCAGCAAAGGATTCCTGAACTGCTTTGGCATGTCCTGAGATCAAACTCCAAGTCCAAGCCCTTGCAGCCAGTTCAATAAGTGTCAGTATACAAAAAAACTCCTTGGCAAAGCTACACAAAACTTTGTGCAGTGCTGTTACTAATTCCGTAGTGAACACCCTGGAGATACTCTAGGGAGTCTTTGCGAGGTGCTGCTTCAATGCGCACTTGAGTGCGATGCTTCGCCGCAAACGTGCCAAGCTCATAAGCTTGTACTCAACAGGCAAAGAAAACACGAGCGGAACACGAGAGGACCATTGAGCCCAGAGCTTCTCAGTTTGGACAGGTGGCAGTAGACACCAAGTAGTACTTCACCGCTGCCATGGTAGGCACTGCCTGAGACTGGCAGTTCCTTTCTTTGAAGTATCAACAAACCCTCCTGCCTCCAACAGTATGATTGAAATTCAATGTCTCTATGCATCTGCTTCCCACATCTTGTCTCAACTTGCAGCACAAGCGCCAGGAACATACCTGTCACTCCCAAGAGCGCGGAGAACAGCATGATCAAGGCCTTAGCAGCTCCGCGACCGATTTGATCCACAAATCGACGGAGAATCTGAGCCCCAGCCATGATAATCACCGGATGCATGCGCATGAATTGGCCACCGAGGCTGGCATACATTTGCACTTCCACCACATTTCCTGCCAAAATCGCACCACCAAGGAAGAGTCGACCACTTTGACGGTCAGCAATCTGACCAGATCTTGGATAGATCCGGATTGGTCATGAAGCAAGTCCATCGTTGAACATTGGTTCCATTTTGTGCCTCTCAGTAAGCAAAGATCTTCTATAGAGGCAAGGGAAAGGAAAAGGAAGTAAACCAAGGGAAGGGGTAAACACAACAGGAGGATGCAGGAAAGAATGAAGGAAGGACACCCCAAAAAACTCGTGATGTTGCCCTACTCGGTTTGATGTTGTTCAACTTGGTTGGGTGTCGTCTTCGATTGATGATTGTTCCTTCTGGACACCCACAATCTGTCTCGCTGGTGGGCAGGGTGGGTTTACCTTCAACAAAAAAGCTGCCAGCGGCCAAACTGGCTCTTCTGCCTGTGAAGATTTTGATGCAAGTCCCGATGATGACCAGCCTAAGCTAGCAGTATAAGAGCACTGTAAAGCTCGTAGGGGTCGATGCTCTCATTAGTGTTACTCGACGAAGCAAAAATGATCTTTTAGGTTGTAACCAGGATGTAGTGGTGCTTCAGGTCATGTTGTCAAGGTATTGTAATCAAATATCTCAGTATCAAAGCACATATGAAGTTTATGAGCCGCACTTCCACTGCATATTCTTAGTTTTGTCTCTTTGCTATTCGCACTCTCTGGCTTGGTGACTTTTCTCTTTGACCCAAGCGACCAGAGCAAGTTCTCCAGCCGCATCTGCCGATCCAGATGCCCATCAAAGAGAATGGCCGGAACTGTCAGAATTGCTGAGGCGATGGCACCTCCGTGGGCTCACGGTATCACCGGCACTGTCAGCATCTACAATAAAGAGAAAAAAACAATTGTATGAAAACCATATTAATGGTTATTGATGGTTCTTTGGGCATTAGTCCTGAAGATCATTGTTGCCACATTTTACACTCTCTCACAGTTTAGGAAAGCAAGAGTTTCCTCTTGAATAGGCATTACACAGGTTCCATGCCATGCCTTGTTTGGAAAGAGTAGAGGGTTAGTTATAAGCTTAATGTTGCTGTCTTGCACGCCCAGTATCATTGTATGAGCTACGACCATATCTGACACATGAGGCATGCAAAAGTAACAATGCAAGGGTTGACCAGTTTTCTCACCTATCTCCGGGATGAAGTTCAGCAGAAATGTCAGCACCTTGCAACGGCCAGTTCTATAGCCCGAGTAAAATTGATGGTCCTCTGACGGTCCAGAATCTGAGAAGTCGGCAAAGAAGAGGCTCCAAATCTTACACTGCAAACACATCAGAAGCGCCTAGGTCGCCATGCTGAGCCAGCGTTGCACGCTCTCATACTATCCTCCCACAAGTTGGCAAGACCCACAGAATCACCGATTGGTCGTAAACTCGTGACGCCCGCCCCACAGTTCTGAAAGCGCCAAAAGTGGTTTGCGATCAAGAAGGCATATGTTGCCCATACAAACGGACGCAGCAGCCATGTTGGACATGATACAAGCCTTCAAGAACTTCGGCGTTCAGATTAGTCCAATTCCGATTATAAACAATATCCAAGTCACACTCATCAATGATGCGAAGAGTAAACATACAATGGTCTTCAGCAGCAAGTATGACTTGAAGACCTTGCACAAACTTTAATGGTCGACACGTTGCAGAGAACAGTCATGTGGAAGGACAGAGAGTAACTCCCAGGCTAAACATTTCTAAAGTATTCAGCCTAGAGCCAAACTGTCTTGGCCACCTACGTGCGCAACCCGCAGGCCTCTGCCACAGGACTGCTAATGGGGAGTGGCTCGAAGATCCAGAAGAAAAGGTACACAAAGAACATCAGAGCCTCACAGAGAGATGTCTGCAGAAATATGTGCAGCTTGGATGTTGGAAATTGAAAACTCCAATGCTGTGAGGTGAACTCGCATAAATGAATTCAGTCTAGTTGAGTTCCTGGATGATCTGGATGGCACACTTTGTTCACTTGATCACAAAAATGTACCACCATGTTGCATACAAAATCAACATGAACTGATGTGGCCCCCAGCTCTCGAAAAAGAATGGTCACGTCGAAGCCTGGAAGCTCAGAGATTCCAAGCTGGAGGCAACCTGCTGAGCCAACGTTGGCAGCTCATTATTCAAGAACTCCGTCGCCTTCTTCTGAATCTCCTTGGGTCTTGGAATTTGTTGAATGGGTCAACAACAGAACAAGGTATAAACACCTTGGTCCTTGGTGCCAAACATAGGGCATCAAACACGTTCATTGTAAGATATTTCATCAGGTATAAGACAGACGCCTGACCTATAGAGGCAATATATACAGGATTCTGTGGCTGGGTAAGATAAAGTGATGGAAGACATCTGGAGGTCTTCCATGAGCTTCTCCTGCCAAACCTTCTCTGGGAAGATGGGCTTGATGAGATCCAGGAAGTCCATCACGCCCTGTGACGTCTCAAAGGGAAAGCAAAGCTAGGCAGCTAGGCTGACTCAGTGCTGGAAGCCTTTATGCTTGGTTTGTTCAGGTCAGCGTATTTATTCTTCTTTAATGTAGTCGCGGATGTCTACACTGGTGCACAGCAATCAAGAAGGATGTATGGGTGTCCTCCAAATGCAGTATGCAAGTACAGTAACTACATGTAACTACAGTACTCAAAGCATGAGATTGGTGCCATGGGCCTTGATGTGATAGGTGCCATCAACAGAGACACACACACACACACGTGCACACACAACACATGCACACACAACACATGCAAGCTCTTGAGCCAGAACAAACGCCCCCTTTTGCACAAACCGAACCGTCTTGTAGTCGCTCAGGTTCGCTGTGAAGCTGCTGATACCCATTTGAATGCATGCCACAAAGAACCTGAGCAAAATCAGGTGTTCGATCCATCCACTGGTGCAGAACGCCTTGTGCCTGTCTCTTGCAGCTGAGAAGCCAAACACCTCCTGCCATAATCGCAAGGGTAAGGATCAAGGACACGAACCAAGACCTCAAAGATTGCGAACTGCTTCAGCGATGTCTTTTTTGCTCACAAAGTGCCTGCAAACTAGAACCGAGAACATGTGTAACATTGCCCAGCCGACTCAGTCAACTTTGTCTTTGTGCCTGGCTCAGTAATCTGGAAACCCGGTGCAAACGACGAACCTGTTCATACCTGTTCCCATATCATCTAAGTGTGTGCTTTTGTTCTCTGCCAGAATACAGAGAGGAGCTCTTGTCGATCTCTAGCTGGCCATGGATCTGCGGCCCTGTGGCTGACCTCGCTTCATCCAAAAACTCGCTGCATTTCAATCACCGAACGATCAGTCTTCCCGCCTTGAAAACACTGCCGAGTATTGCTCCGATGCATCCAAGAAGAGCTCCAGGATAAGGCTCTCTCCTATCGGCTTGGGTCTTGCAAATGGAATGGGACACCAAAAGCTGGATTCCTCACAGTTCGGAATGCACGGAATATGTTCGAACTGTTTGAAAACAATGCGCAAAGTCTTTTGACCGCCCGGCATTGCTTACAGTGTGGCCCAAAGCTGCCAAGCTCATTTGCAAATCTTCTGGCAAGTCGCTGGTCGCCTGGCCACAGTCTCAAGCAACTCAAGAGCGTGAGAGCTAGATCCTGTTGTCAAGAACTTCACAGGAGTCAACATCGGAGTCTGGCCGTCCTACTTGCATCATCCTCCGTCCCAGGCACACAGGCGCCATCAGAAGGGCACGATTGGAGCTTAGAGATTCAAACATAAGAGATTAAACGTGTTTAATAATGAAAAACCCTTGCACTAAGTAACCGTTTCCATTTCCGTAACTGTTCACTTTTATCTATTCTAAGAGCTAGTCGCCATTGCCACTGCATGGTTGCCACCCACCTCGCATGCTCCGCCCTGCGCATCTCGGAAGCTCAAGCGATGTCGGTGGAGCCAGTTGCGATGACAAAGCTCTGCCTGAGGTTGACTAAATGTATATCTAAAAAAGAGGAGGCCTAGGTGGCCGATGTCAATATCCAAACAAAACTGAATATATCTGCAAATAGCAACGCTGTCGATATGAAGGACTGGAGGCGACGGGTCTGTCGAGGCTCATGGAAGTTGTTTGGCGCTGCTTTTTGACACTGCCAAAGGAACACGGCCCCGATATGATTGAAGGTGTTCATTATTGACTGCTGATCTTGTGCACCAAAGACTATCTTCAACCAAGGGGCATCGCTATAGAACGTGGCCGCACTGCTATAGATTCGGTCCTTTCAATGGCTTTGCATCGAAATCTCTCTCATTGATCTGCAGTATGCTGTTAAAATCTCTAAAACTTGGAACACGTATTCCCGGATTCCCCATTAAAGTGTTTGACAAGTCCGAGTCCACTCACTTTCCAGTCCCGCACAGTGACATGGCCCAGGTGTGCTGCATGGCTGCGAATTTGATGTCGCCGCCCAGTCCCAATGCGCCAAAGCCCCAAGGTTAAGGCAGAATTCTTGAAGTACAATGAAGGCGACACGGGCGACACCTCAACATAAAGAATATATATATATATCAAGCAAGGACGGCTTGAAGGCACAAGGACGGTTTGACAATGTTTGAAGTGCTTGGACTTAGCCAAACGCTCCAACCTGAGTTGAGCGCCTCTGAGACTGAGAGCTTCCCTCTGCCACCCGCTTTGGAAGCGTCCGGGTCCTGGTAGAAGAGCCTCAAGCAGTAAAGGCTTGCCACATGTGCAATGATTTTGGCGACCACTAATCTGGCCAAAGATTGAAGAGATAAGAAGAGTGAATAGGCTGAAGAGACTTCAGGGCTGCCTCACACCTCAAAACACACAAAGCGATGCCTCAAGCGTATTTGACGAGGTGAGGCCAAGCCGTGGCAAAGCACCATGTAGTCACGCTCCATGCTGCCACTATGAAGCTGCAACTGCAAATCATAGAAGGCCTTGAACTGTCTCTTTTTGAAATGAATCTCGCTACGGTACTTTCTTAAGTCAGGGCGGGCTTAAAAAACAAAAATATCAGGAAGGCTACAGCAGCAAAGATCTGAGAATCTCGGTTTCGCTCTGTTGCCTTCCTTCTGACAGTCTAGTTTGTGCCTTGGCTAGTCAACCCTCACAGCATCTTATACTTCGCCTTTGGCTGAGCTTCATGCGTTTCCCTTAAGCTTCTGACTGCATATGTCTGTGCCAGCACGATTAGACCGCTGCTCGGCACATCCAGTCGGTGCAAGAATCCAAAGTTGTGCGCTGAGTCCTCACAAAGGTTGGGACAAAACCCAGGCACAGCAGGCACTGCACTAGTTTAGTAAAGGAAGTATGTCTGAAAAAGCAGTATATCAAATTGGTTGGAGGCCATCGCAATTATATGTTCCCTTTCCATCACATTCCCTTTCAATTCTTATGTGCGGCTGTGGCATTGTCCTATTTGTGAGTCCCCTATCGCTGGCAGGGCATGGAGCATTCCCACATATGAATGAAACCCTCTTATGCAAATAAAAATCATCGTAAATGTTGAAGGCACTAATGATAGGGCCAAAAATAGATTTCTGATCAAAATGTTGACTGCAACTTACTGGTGCTACTCTCAACTTACTTGCACAAACGAAGGTGATCGTTGTGCCCCGTGTCCCGCAATCTGACTGCGTCCTGATGGATTGGTGCCGGCAGCATCCGGCGGACGAAGCTCACCAGTTGTGGGCCCACATGATCGCCATAAACCTGGACCAAGGGGAGTCTAAGTTTCCCTACATATGATGGTGGCAGACTCTGTAGATGAGCAGAGTTTCTCGATCTTGATTAACCCAGAATCCCATACTGCCTTGCCTCCCATCCGGGCGGCTTCAAAATCACTGGTCGGTCTGGCCAGGTGGTAATCAACTGAGTCTCTTCCCCTTGAAGTGGTCTTACCACCTTCTCAAGTTTCACGGATGGCAGGCGATTATCCATAGCTTGTCCCACTTGTCCAAGGTTCTCATTGACGTAATCTCGGAACGGGATGGACAAACAGCCTGCAATCTGGCAGGCAAAAAGTAGGGCCAGAACCTCCTTGCCATCGCGGGAAAAAGAGAAATTGACCGAAGAATCCTCCGCTTTGTGCAGGTTGAGTCCAGTAAAGGTTCGTTGAGCTGAAGAAAAGAACTCGCCAGACGATGCGAAAGAAGTGGAAGCTGCACCCTGAACAGCAATACTCAACTCCTCTAAGCTCAGGCTTGACATTCGCTTCAGAGCCTCCTGTGCCAGAAACTCGTGGAACTGACGATTGCTGGCACCCAAAATAGAGCTTGACCACCATGCTGTCATCAACTCGAAATTTGACGGTGAGCTTTGGAAGTCTGACACTGGTCTGTCTTCACATCTCATCGACATCCAGGCATTCACACAAGCTGCATGGATGGTTTGTGGAAGATGTTCATGAAGGACCGAGAGGCCCCACAGGTAAGATGTGGCAGAGCGAAGATCCTGTGACTCGTCGAGAAGTCTGAAAGCTGCAGCATTTTCCCTCAACTTCCAGCAGGCCAAGAGCACTGCATCATATGCAGCCACTCCAAGAGCTTGTGAGCACTCGAGTGCAGTCAAAGCACTCTGCCATTTAAGCGCTCTACTCAAGGTCTGCACCATGGGCACGGCACTTCCTGGAGGAGATCCATTCTGCTCCAGAGCGAGTCTGAGTGAAAGTGCACGTGGCCAAAGAACTTTCCCCACAACAAGTTCACCCAAAGACAAAACTACATCAGTGTCCATTCTGGAGTTTCCAAGATCTCCCAGAAGCAAGGCAGCTCGCCACTGCTGTGCTTCCACCCAAGCTTCCAAGACCACACTGAAATCCGCCTGTAACATCCAGGATTGAAAGTCACGCAAAAGTGCGGCGGAATTTCTCCATGGGCTCAACGTACTGAAAACTGCCTTGTTCTGCAACGATGCATCCATTTCCGCTTGGTTATCTCTCGCTGTGTCAAGTAGCCTGGATGCAAGGTGCTTCTTGTGGACTGGGAGAGGGGAATCGAAAAATGATGGACATATAAATCAATGCTGCCTTGCATGCGATGCACATGTTGATTCTTGTCTGTGCGCGTCTGTATGATTGATCAAATGCATATATATATATGTATGTGTGTCCCCGCAAACCCTTTTAAACTGTTGAGCCTGCAACAAATTCAAGCTGGGGGGCTTAGATGCATACATCCATTGCATTGGCCTTGCAGAAAGGCTTGATGCTAGCGCAGCCAGGCTGTCTTGCATACCTTCTGAAGCAAGCTTCATCTGCAGAGTTAGAGATTCTTTCCATTGTGCCCTTCCTGGGACTGCGAGAGACCAGGAGTGTCCGCGAAATTCAAATCAAGTTGCCCAACAAATTGTGTTTTTTCGTGACCTTTTCGCCTCCCTGCTCGGCTTTCTTTTCAATGTTGGAGGTTGGTCTAAACTGTCATTACTGCCTACAACCACCCTCGATTTTCGCTTGAACCATAAAGTCATAAAGTGGGAGCTGTAATCTGAAAGACGATACAACACAAAACGCATTTTAAAAAACTGTCTCCAAACAAATCAAAAAGCAGGCATAAGCAGGCCAACTTTGGAAAATGGGTTCGATCTATTTGGAGACTACGAAGTCGCTATTCTAGAATGACTCGGCTAGAGTCGACTAGTGCTTTTGATCGCCGAAGTGTAGGTTGCTGAGTTCATTCGCAGCCCTCGCTTGGCCCCCAAGCAAAGCAAGGCCTTGGTCCAAAGCACCGCACCCAACAAAGCTCCATGCAAAGCAACATCACCGGCGTGAGCACTGGCAAAGCTCAAGGCCTCCTGAAGGAAGGAAAACAAAAGGAAGATTAGGATTGTTTGTTTTGTTTTGTTCTGTCTTTGTGCTTTCAACAGAAAATGTGAATTTGTTGGTGGCGAGCGCAAGTCGAATTGGCCAAATGTGAATTGGCCCAATGTTCCAGCTGTGCCTCTCTCTTTCTCCAGGGGGAGGGAGTTTCAACATAAGAGTCGATGTAATCATAATGTGCTTGAAAATAGAGTCTAAAGCCACGCCACCACTAGAAAGACAAAAACTATCACGTTCTGTCCTGCCAAATGTGACTCTGGCACATGGCTGTCGAGGTGACCACGTTACTCTGCAGTCCAATCACTCGCAAATGACGGAAGATCTGCATGGACTGCCTCACTCTGCACTGCCACAAGCACCACATAACCTGTTCATTGACCTGGTAGGATTGCCCAATCTCACAGGCCATATTTATATAGGTTTGTATCATGCCACCAGCAGTGGTGGGACTAGTGGTAGTTGGCAGTTGCTGTAGCAGTGTTTCAGGCCACCCACTAAGCGAGTCAATGGCACAACAAAACCATGGGATGGCATGTCATCACAACCAAAAAGCCTCATCCTACACCGTCCTAAATGACTTGACCTCTATCATAACAAGGCCGAGCGCTCCAGCCCTGGCTGTCCAAGCTGCTGCCAGTGTTGGGCATTTGCACTAATGGCTGCATTGACGGCCATCAAGTCCTGAGTTTCACGAAACAAGAGAAAACGCTCCTGAGGCAAACATAGCGTCGAGTTTTGTCCTCACACACAACCAGATCAACCAGAGCAGCTGAGAAGCTGTTTGGAGGTCATGAGAGCTCATGTCTCGGAGCAAGTGTAGGGCACCCTGCCATTGGCTGCCACGCTCACACGCGCTGGCAGCAGAGCAGTAGCTGATCGCATCCAATCGGGGCGGTCGCATCAGGCCTGAGGGGGAAAGGCAACGTGCTTGGAGTTTAGGGGGCAAAGCAACGTGCACGTTATCCGCTCCACGGACGTTTCCTTTTTGAGGAAAAACAACATCCTTACGAAGTGCAAAGGAAAGGCTCCAAAGAGATAAACCGCCATCTGCCAGGAGTCTCCCTTGACGCAAGCAGTGATTGCTGAATTGTACGTAATCTGATCAGCCTGTACCTCTAGGCTTTCCAAAGTCGAGAGCAAAAGCACAGCTGTTTGCCATGGCCCCTTGCACGCGCTAAGCGCCGCGTTGAAGCTGATGACATCCACCATTTGTTCTTTGCACATCTCGCCAATGAGCTGCATGGCGCGTTGCCACTGCATGCTTCTGTCGTACGCAGTGATGACTGCGTTACAAATTCCAGCTGTCACAGCTGAACATCTTTTCGCCTCCATGAGCAAGTGGCAAGCACCTTGCCAGTGCCCACCCTTTCCACATGCACTAATTGCTGTGAGGAATGTAATGGCACTCTCCCGTAACCGTTTGGAATGCAAGGTTGGCAAAAGTTGCAACGTTCTTTCCCACAGGCTAGCCCCTGCACAGGCAGCCATTGCAGCATTGTATGAGACAATACTGGGCTGCAATCTTCCATGCTCCAATGAGCACAACAGTTGCAGAGCTGCTTGCCATTTCCTTTGCTTTCCACAAGCACTGATTGCAGCATTGTAGGTGACAACGGCTGGCTCAGTGAATTGGCTAATTTCAAAGACAGCTTTCTGCCAACATGTGTTTGAGCTCATTTTGGCTATCTGGTTCAAACAAACACGTGATTGGGAAAGAGACAAGCACTAGCCTTGCCTAGCATGTTGCCAAAAGGCCAGCATCACACAACAGCGCAAAGCCCGTTGAGGCAGCTCGGGTCCTTCTTCTTTTGAGGAAGCATAGTATGTCCACCCCTTCACCAATCCTCGAAAGCCGCAGTGTCATTCTGCAACTCTCAAAACTTTGAACCTGCTCCATCTCTCAGCAGTATGCATTGTTGCAAGCACGCATGCGCGCACGGTTGCCTGTTCTATCAAAAATGTTTGCAAGAACTGCATTTAGGAAAACTGACTTTGCACAATTTTGTGCCGGCCACGACACCATTCGCTTCTGGCTCAACCTGGCCCTCCTGCGTGCCGATTTGTCTCTTGATCTGCATGCATTTGGGTGCTAGGTGTAGATCCGAGATCCTATCAAAAAGAACTGAAGCATCCTGCAACGGCATTTGCCCTTGCCTCTAGCGGCTAGAGGTGTTACATACCGGCAAACAACATCAAACAAATGTCACGAGATGACAAAGGTTTCAGACCCATAGCGTTTCATTCCATCTGTTCCGGTGTGGAGACCAGACACATCCAGCGAAACTGGCCGCGTTCAACCGCTGCTCCTGCTCCTCGTGTTCAAGCTCTACAATGCGAACACGCCGACGGAAGCACGACCTTGATGCGGAGCTCAGGAAGTGGTGGCAAGTTGCTTCTAGCAGCAAAATCAAACATGCCCATCCAGACCAACTAAAAGCATTGAGTCCGACCCGCACTCTACGCAAACACCAACAATCATCCAAACGCTCCGGAACTGAGCAAGGTTGCTCTTTGCTGGAACAGGTAGTGGTATAAGTAGCCAGTACATCACTGTACTAGTGCAATTTAGTGGAGGGTCACCTTTTTGCAGACTGTACAGAAATTGGAAACACGTTGCAACACCATTCAAGGGAAACGAAAGAAACTGATGTGCATGATACGAATGAAACGATGTCGGAAACAGAATCCTCGGCGCAGCCAGGGTGAACCATGAGCTCAACACCCTGATAGAATCAACAAAGAAGGTGGTCAATCTGAATGAAACATAATCCACGGGGCTCTAGTCGCAGGATCTGTAGGAGCCTGGAACAATGACGACTGCATGGTGTATTGACCTCACACAGTGCTGTGGGGTGTTCGAACAAACGTATGGCTCAAGAAAAAGGTGCTGAATCCACAAAAAGAAAACATGAGCAATCATTGAGCGTCCCGAAAGGTTATTGCTTTCGCCATTTGAATGTAGAAACCCAGTGTCATAGAATGGCTCAAGCCATTCTCACAAAGTTGTCATTTGGGATTCCCAAATCTGTGGTTTTGGGTTAGGACGGGCTCCCCCATAATCCTTTGTAGTGGCAACAACTGGTTGCTCTTGTGAAGCTGCACGGTTCAAACTTTCTTGACTCAGTAGGTGGATCACGGTCGGCCTCTGTTTGATTTGAAAGGCATTTTAGAAAAGAACATGTTGTTTTTCATGAGCGAAATCTCAACAACTGCCCGAAAACACATGTGGATGGAATTCCTTCTACCTACACAACGCTTTCGAATGGAATGATGAAGAGTGTGCCTTCCGCAAGAAGTGAGCATTCCGATAGTCAGCATTCGAATCTGGGCGGTCCAGGGTTATTCGCCATCCAGATGCCGCGAAGCGAACCCGTTCAGGCTCCTTGCGAAGTGTTCGGGGATCCAATCGAAAGTTCAAAACCAATAGCAACAAGAAGCTACTAGTAACAAGTGCCACGCTACTAGTAACAAGTGCCTTACTAGTAGTAACAATGTTCGCTACTAGGGGCTCCTGGCATCGCTACTAGGAGCAAGGACGCTATTAGGGGCTCCCGGCCGCACTATTAGGAGCAAGGACGCTACTATATAGTCACAAATACCAGGGGGATTCATGCTGTCAATAGACACCTGATCTTGGTTCTCACAGTGCACCCTGAAACGCCACAACCTACTGCTATGAAGTTTTCAGCGTGGAAACAAGTCAGAAACATGCAACCCTGATTCGCACCGTACTGTAAGCTTGTTGCAAACCATGGGTCTGAGTGCGTGATGTCAAGAAGTGGAGAGGATTGGGTGTGCCACAAACAGAGCCACAAGCGCTTGATGCCGCTCATGACCTGTGATGCAACGGTGCAGTGGCGAAAGGGTGCTGCCAACGGGGCTACTAGCAATACAGCAGAACCTACCTGAGTTTACCTGGACACAATGAATACACACATCTATATCGGACATCAAAGAAAACGAGGCAGTGGTAACTTGCCAGAGAAAATGTCCTGACCTTGACTCTCTTGCCCCCCTGGCCTGATTGATCAGCCGATCGATATACGAAATCAACAATGTGCTCGGCACCTTTGTGCTTTGAGCCGATCAAGCCAGCTCCATTCTTCCAAAGCATTCTTGAGAGAACTCCGAAGCACTGAGTAATAGCCAGTTTCGGCTGAGGCACTGCAAAGAAGGCAGCCCAACACAAAGGCGTGACCGTCTCGCGGAGGTTTCTGACAGAAAGGATAGATCTGATGGCATGTTTGTTGCGGGATCTCTGCTGCTTTGACAGTCTCTTCGGCTTTGCCTTGTAAGATAAACAAAAACACCGAAGCATACGATCATCATAAAGGCCACCTTGGATGAGAAAAGACAAATGTTATTCTCGGGTCACTCAGTGTCTTTGTGCGTGCAAAAGCTGGGGAGCAGTTGGTGTCTGCCTTTTGACAAATGCAAATCTGTCACTGTCTGACACAAAGAGCTGGCTTGGGTACTCTACGAGGAGAATGTAAGGGAACATATTGAACAGAAGCATCTCACCTGAAAACCTTCCGTTCTCCAGAAGGCTTATCTCCAAGATACAAAGGCAAAATTTCTCTGGAATTCCTCCATCCGAGGTGCCATGGCTTCAAGACAGGCTGTCCAAGCAAGCAAGCAAGCAAACAAACAAACAAACAGCGTTCAACCTCTTTCGTTCTTGGACCAAGGCTAAGTAAGACATTGGGTGCGCCTCCTGAACATGACTTCATGCACAACCCGTACAGCCCCTTAATGGCTAAAACAAAAACGCACATTCGGATGCATAGCTAGTAACTAGTATTGGCTAGTAGGTGCAACTTGGAGGGTCAAAGTCACGCTGAGATAGCTGATTCACAGCAAGTGAACAAATTGAGCTGCATGTTGAGAAACACTGTATCCTACCTAACTGCGACACATAGCCCACTTCGTGGGAATTGTATAGGACTCTGAGGATACTCAGTGTGACAAGTGATTCGTTCGCTTGCCGATGCTGAGGTCTTGCGTCTCAAGTCAAATTCTGCGGCATATCAGTCCTGCTATTGAAGCTGTGCAAACAATATCAATCACAGTCACCCCTTACTTTCTTTTTGAAGTGGTTGATTGACAAATCAGCACTCAAAAGGCTTGCACACCGGTCACCACCTCCACTGACAAAGATCAAACATGTTAGACAACATTAAGAAACATTAGCAATTGTGTAGTGCCTCCATGGGGCTTCTACCGATAGCGCGAGGCCAAAAAAAGCATCGCAGGACTGGTGTCGCACCAAAGTCGCTGAGGGCAACATGGCACTGCGGATCTCTGAAATCCCGGATCGTCAGCAGAAAATTGTCGCCCTGAAAAACTCGGATCTGCTGCACGTCACCAATCAACTGTTCACAGAGGTAAGGTTGCAATCCACAAGATGCTTTTGTATATCTGTTGCAATGGCAGACGCTGCCCAATCGAACTCGACAGTCGAGTGTGAATCGGTTGAAGGCTTTCGTGCCTTGATGTCCCGGTGTACGATGTGCTTGCCATGAAGATACTGGATGGATGCGACCATCTGGCCAACGCAGTTTCAACTGAGTCATGTTTGCAGTGTTGGTTTTGAATGTAAAAGCTCCGTTCGTAGCGTCCTTGCTCCTAGTAGTAAGGCCAGGAGCCCCTAGTAGCTTCTTGTTCCTAGTCGCGATGCCAGGAGCCCCTAGTAGCGCCCTAGTAGCCCCTTGGGAAAAGGGAAAATGATAAGTTTACAAGGGTGGAGTTTAGCTCTTGATGATCTTGATGGCAGACGAGAATACCGCCTGGTAGCTCACATGAATGATATCTCTGGCATTGATCTTGCCACGCTCCTGGCATTGGGAATGTATGGGGCAGCCATCCGGTATTGGAAATTTGGGCCCTTTTACGACCTGAACTGGTGCTGGCAAGAGTGAGATGATTCGGTGCATCATTCTCACATTTCATCCCCCGACCATCCAAGAAACAACCTGAGATGCTTGTCCTGCAGGTGAGTTTGCATGCCGTCAACCAAGTCTCCTGCCAAATCCACGTCAAGTGTGAATGGAGAAAGAGGCCGTGGTGCCAACAGCAACCTGTGAGAAAGGGTAGTTCAGGGAGCCTAACCAAGTAAAATGTATTACAACTTGAAGAGTTCTTTCACGCTTAGCACTTTTCATCTGGAGAGTGCAAAGTCCTCCAGAGTACTTGTCCATGACGATGCAAACGAAGCACCTCCAAATGAATGCGAGCTGCTAGCTTGACATTACCACTCAAAAAAGAAACTCCCTGAACTAGCATTGCAAAATCTTGGTTTGCGCGCGGCATGCAAACACTGCTCTAAAGCTGGAATCTCGTTCTTGGCTCAAATAGTTGCAACCCGAGGCCAGATTTTCTTCATTTTTCTTCTGGATTCAATCTAGCCAGCTCTGGCCTTTCAAAGTAGACTGCGTGGAAGCGGACGATGTTCTCGTGGTGGAGTGTCTGCGGAAGTGTTGCAAGTGTGGCAGAAACCATCGAATGGCTGTTGATGTACAGTATCTGCTTGTCTGATTTTGAGAGAAAATTGAAGTGAATTCTCTTTCATTTCGAGCAACCTGAGGCCCGCCTTCATGAGCTCTGCCTCTCGGCGAATCACCTCTGAAGGCGTTTCCACCTGGAAACAAGATCGAAATGTTCCTATGCCATTGGAATATTCACCTGAAATTCCGTTCTCAATGTCCCTCCTCTCTCTCTCTCTCTTAAGAGTAGAAAGCGTTGGTCACACTTCACTCCTGAAATCTTGATCCTTTAGAGTTGCAATAGCAAAATAAGTGAGCTCTTCTCAGCCATTGCAACTGATCTGTCTATATACAGTAGATATCCGGGGAACTCGACAACCAGCTATGTTCATCATTCTCAATATTGTTGTGCTCCTTATCAATCTGATTCACATTCGTCCACATGGTACCAAGCCCGGCCTTGTCCACCATCTTTACAGCCACCTGCAAAACTGCAATTCTACACAAAACATCTGCCCTGGCTCCATAATGTGACTTGGACCATCCAGAAGGAAATGCCCGGACAAGCCTTTCGATCGATTGAGCATCTGATTTGTCCAACATACTCATAGGCAAGTTCCAATCATAGAAAGAACATATTGAGCGAAAGTTTGACCAGTTCTGGCGCAGTTTGACTGCCTGCCTGACGGCCACTTTTTCTGTGGGTGCAAGCCTTGGTGCCACTTGATGCTGCAAGAAAGGCAAAAAGTGCGCTTCTGTCTTTTTGGAGGTGACTAAAGGGTACAAAAAGAACAGCCCCAATCCATTCCTGGGAGCAAGGTCTCGACTGTCTGTGCACTTGTGGTAGCAAAGGTACGGATGGTGTGAATTGCATCCATTCCAATTGAGTGCCAAGGCTTTCGCATGCTTTTATATATATATATTATATATATATATATGTTTTTACTAGCAATGGCCTCCAACCCAATAGAGATGGCCTCCAACCTAATAGCCATGAAGCCAGGCCAGGCGACTGAAAACGAAAAACTAAGAACAACTCCTACTCGGATCTACTCGCTGATTGGCCCTATGGCCCTATTGCTGCAGTGCTTCAGCGCAGTGAAGCCTGAGTAGCTTGCAACTTGCTACCTTTTCAGAAAATTAAATCCATGAAAGGGAGTGTATAGGTTCCCATTTCAAGAGTACCTGGCTGACTCTTCTGGCAAACTTGCTGCAAGGGGCATAAACGACACCGAAGGCTCCTTCGCCTAGAGCTTCACCAACAGAGTATTCCTTGTCCAAAACTCGGTGAAGGAGTCCCTTTTCTCTCTACCGCACTGGAGTCCATTAGTTCAACAGCTCGAAAACCCAACCAAACGATGCTACATGTTCGAAGGCTCAAAATCCAATGCTTGAAACCTGCAGACTTATCTGTCTCTTCATTTGTCCTCCAGAAGCCGCCTGCTGCTGACCCTAAGTCAGGGAGCATGATTGGTGACAAACGGAGTGACCAAGCGAGTGTCATTGGCCGAAGCAAAAACACGAAAAAAATGTGACTAGTAGTTTCTTGTTCCTAGTAGTAAGGCGAGCTACTAGTAGCGATGCCCTTGTCGTCCGTGGAGACCTGCAGCTCTCAGTCCCTGGCTCATCGCTCGTCGCTTTCAGTCCCAAGGAATGGCCCGAAGTACAGCTGGTCTGCAGAAACGGCATCTCTGGACTCTGGTCTGGACAAACTCATTACCTTCACTCCATATTCAATGCTTGCGGCAACTTCTTCAAGAGCTGATTGGCATGTTCCCACAACAATTAAGACAAAATCCCGGCAGATGTGTATGGGCAAAGAATCGGGCACGGCTTGCAAGGTGCAAAGCAGCCTGCTTGCTAGCCTGCTTTGTAGCCTTCAAATCTTCCTGAACATGGCTGCTGCTGCACATCTTTCAATTTCACACCGGGCTGATTGTCAAATTTTGGCTCACTTGAAGCACTCTGAAGCCTACCATGCCTGGACCAGAGAGTGTCATTCCAATATCCCTCTGCATACCAGCAGGTCCATACTTGAACAGGGTCACTCTCCGCCTCCGTGTCCTTTTGCGAGAGACTGAAGCCCATCCTATGGCCGTAGTCCATCCAGGGCTTTTCTAGGTCCGATGGAGCTACAGATGGAGTTGGACTCATCTGAACATTAGACCGCTCAACCACTTCGTTGCTTCATGAGCTATTGGAGCTTTACTGTTGGAAGTCATAATCTGACGGCAAGCAGCAAAAGTAAAACACTCTTGATATTAGAGGCCCAAGTGGCCACCTCCGTGGACAACCAGCCTCAAACCCAGCATGGATTTGGCTGTGGCAGCCGCACTACCCAAACTCTTCAACATGTTGCCTCAGCCGGTTGCTCAGGGAACAAGGGTTCTGAGGTGACTGCCCCCTGTCCAGTCTCCGTTCGAGACAAAACAAGGGCAGCCCGAACCATGCAAACAAAGAGCATTCCGAGATTGCTGATTAAATCATATTAAATCTGATTAACCTACAAACATCAAGGAAAAAAGACAGACAGCCAAGGTGCATCTGGTGTGACCAGAAGCATGAGCGTACTTTCTGGTGCTGCTAAGTGTTTGCTTGGGTACGTGTGGAGAAATGAAAGCGCAAGAGCACATCTGCTTTGTGGTGTCATGATGTATCTTTTTTTCTCAGGTTTCTGCCAGTTTCGTACCTCTACCTGTCCAAGTCATGGACAGAAGCAATGAGGCAATGTACATGATAGCGTAGACAACATCGCTCATCGACTGATGATAATAGGATGAGAAGAAGAACATTGATGGCACTGACAACTGAATGCTTTGGGCACTTGATTCTACTCTTCGGATATTCCAGGCCTCACATGTTCCAGCACCTTTGATACGTAGCCTGCCAAGCTGCATAAACATGTGATAAACATGTGAGCTACTCGCAAAGTCATGTTGTCTCACATCACAAAGCATTACCAAGTCATGTGATTTGGGACGCGTTCCACCACTCTCTCTAGAGGACGCGGATGGAGACCATTCGCTCGAGACCGGTTCCGAGTGATGCGAAAGTGACCGTGGCCCGGTGGACGAGAAAAACACGCATTCGGCCTTGCTGAACTTACGTCGCAGCAAAGCCAGCGTGGCCACAGAGGAAAAGTTTTGGAAAGTGACCGTCTTTTACAAATACACTATCTTC